GTTGTTGTTGTTGTTGTTGTTGTTGTGTCTTCAAGTCGTTTCCGGCTTACGGAGACCCATGGGGTTTTCTTGGCAAGTTTCTCCAGAGGGGAGTTGCCATTGCCACCCTCTGAGGCTGAGACAGTGTGACTTACCCAAGGAATCATAGAATCATAGAGTTGGAAGAGACTACAAGGGCCATCCAGTCCAACCCCCCTGCCATGCAGGAACTCAAAATCCAAGCATCCCCAACAGATGGCCATCCAGCCTCTGTTTAAAGACCTCCAAAGAAGGAGACTTCACCACAGTCCGAGGGAGTGTGTTCCATTGTCGAACATCTCTCACTGTCAGGAAGTTCCTTCTAATGTTGAGGAGGTCACCCAGCGAGTTTACATGGCCAAGCTGGGAATCGAACCCTGGTCCCCAGAGTCATCGTCCAACGCTCAAACCGCTACACCACATTGGCTGCACAGCACCTGATATTCATTCATGGTCTCCCATTCAAGTACTAACCAAGGCTGACTCTGCTTAGCTTCCAAGATCAGAGGTGATCTGGTGCCTTTAGGTTATTTAAGCCCACCGCTCACATGTGCAAGGATTGATGGTTCCTACAGAGTACGTGCAAGTGCAGTGACACACAGGGGACGAGAGAGCTGTTAAATCTGACATATCTGGGCCAGGAGTGTGGGGTAGAAGAGGGCCACACCTGGCCTCTGTGATCCCCAGGGTGGGTTCCTCTCTGCACCTCCTGCTGGCTTGAGGACCCATCTGGCCAGGCTCCCTGAAGCCTCCAGGCCTAGGCCATCCCTGGATCCCCCCTGTCAGCTTGTCGACACTGCAAAAGAGAAGACCATGTGGCAAGTCTGGGGCCCGACAATGCCCGGCTCCGGAGCTTTTCTTCCTGTGGTTTGCAACACAAAGGCTGACTGCGGTGGCCTCTCTCCTTGCCTTTGCCAAGACAGATTCCAGCCAGGCTAATCTCTGAGGGGGAGGCAGGAGCCCAGAGACCTCTGCCCATTCCCCCCTCTCTCCCCTTCCCCGACTGCCTCCTCAGATCCAATCTATGCCCAGAAATCTGGGCAACTGTCCCTGGAGTAATAAGCTGAGCCTCTTCCTGGCAAATCTGGCTGCCAGGCCTTGCCAGAGCTTCCCAAACCCTCAGGCGGAGATGACCCTCCAGCAAAAGCCAGAAGACAGACCTCTCCCAGACATCAGGAGAAGGCCTGAATCCCTTCTGCTTCACACATGATGACAGGCAGAGAGAGAAAAGGGTCTTATTTTAACAACAACAACAACAACAACAACAACAACAACAACAGGCTAGATTTCAGAGGAATGTATTGTCCAAACCACTTCTGAGTATTCCTTGGCTAAGAAAACCCTACAAAATTCATGGGGTCACCATAAGTCGACAGGTGACTTGAAGGCACAGACACACCATACTGCAATATTCCTTTCAAACAACCTGAGTTTTAAGACAGATGTGTGTGTGTGTATGTGTGTGTCCAATTCTCCTCTCTTTTTATTCCCTCTCTATTTTAGGCTCCATCCAGGGGCATTGGTGGCTGTTACAGTGGGATGACAGGTATTCATCTGTTTGCTTGCTTGCTTCCTTATTTATTTATTATTAAAACACATCTATCCTACCCTTTATCCCAGGGTCCCAGGGTAGTGTATGAGAGCAACAGTTTAAAGCATTCCCAGATAGAAAATAATAATAATAATAATTTGAGCAAGAGAAAAGCATATTAAACACAGTGGTAATTAAAACAACTTTACAACAACAGTTAAAACCAGTGATGTCGGCTTGAGTCTATTGACTCAGACTCAAGTCGGACTCAAGTCATTTCAATGACTTGACTTGGACTCAGACTCAGCAATAAATGGCTTGACACAACTTGCCTGGCCTGGCCTCATGACTTATATATTTTTAGTGACCGACTTGCTGACCTTGGTTCAGTAACACAACACATTCATAACATTTCTTGGAAGAGAACAGCAAATGTGTTAGGAAATGGGCTTGAGGTGGAAAGATGCTTCTAAAGCTTTGCATTCACGTT